TTGATATTTTTAATTGCTCATATGGCATTCACATACATTCCCTTTGCAAAATGCAGTGTGTGTTGATGCTGGTGCATTTTGCAATTTCTAAAACATAATTAATATATTTATATGGTAATATATAATATATATAATAGTATTATATTATAATGTATATATATAATAGTATTTGATGTATATATAATGGCATTATATATAATGTATATATAATAGCATTGTATAATATATATATTATATATAATACTATTATATATATAATATTTAATATATATATAGAATAGTATTTTATATAATATATAAATAATAGTATTATATATAATATATATATAATAGTATTATATATAATATATATATAATAGTATTATATATAATATATATATAATAGTATTATATATAATATATATATATATATAATAGTATTATATATATTATAGTATTTATATACAACTATATAATAGTATTTTTATATATAACATGTAATAGTATTATATAATATATATATATAATAGTATTTTTATATATATATTATAGTATTTTATATATATACATATATATATATGATAGTATATATATAATACTATTATATATTCTGCTTTTTCAACAAGATCCAAAGCAGCTCGCAACACTAAAAACAAAAACAATTTAGATCCTACACTATATAAACATTAAAATAGGATAAATACACACATATGTGTGTGTGTGTGTGTGTGCTAATTAAAAATATGTGCTATTTGTAATGCAACTGGTGGGAATGTATTTTGGGGGGGGGGGTTTGCTGATGCTAATACGTGTTGGACTAAAAATATAATTTATTCCGGTGCAAGACTGGCATTCAAAAGTTGTATTAAAAGTTGTAGTACAAATCCCTGGGTTGCTGTGAGTTTTCCAGGCTGTCTGGCCTTGTTCTAGAAGCATTCTCTCCTGACGTTTCCCCCACATCTATGGCAGGCATTCTCAGAGGTTGTGAGGTTTGCTGGAAACGAGTCAAGTGAGGTTTATATATCTATGGAATAATGTCCACGGTGGGAGAAAGAATCACTAGTTTACTGTGAGTTTTTCAGGCTGTTTGGCCATGTTCCAGAAGCAGGCATCCTCAGAGGTTTTGAGGTCTGTTGGAAACTAGGCATACCTGTGGAATGACCAGGGTTGGAGAAAGAACTCTTGTTTACTTGAAGCAAGTGTGAATGTTGCAATTGGCCACCTTGAATAGCATTGAATGGCCTTGCAGCGTCAAAGCCTGGCTACTTCCTGCTTGAGGGGGATCCTTTGTTGAGAAGTGTTAGTTGGCCCTGATAGTTTCTTGTCTGGATTCTGAATTATTGCAAAACTGATGGTGCAATTGGCCTGAAGTGGAACAATCCAATACTTTCAGACTTTGTTATTGCAGACAGATGATTCAACTGACCTGAAGTGCTCCAAGCCCTTAGAGAAAGCCCTTACTTAGAGTACTCTTTTAGTATTGAGTTGGTTGAGGGTTGGCTTCTATGAGGTTAGGAGCAAGTCTCCCTTTCCCTAAATCTGAATCTCAAAATAATCCAGAATTTTCTGATATTGACCATGTGGTTGGCTGAGAGAGAAGGCACCTTTGCACTATCTGTACACAAACATGCACACAGTGTGTACTACTATGTATGAAGTGTATATGAGAAGTTGATTGATTTTGGGTTTGGGTCCTAATTCCCAAATAATCTCATGATGCGTGTATATGTAAATATGCGTATTGGAAAATCCTAGGTCCAAAACATGTCCGGTCTTAACTTTTACTCTATATTGTCAATCAAATATTATTATTATTTGAAACACAACAAGATGACCTTTTGCAGCTGACAGATGGTAATTTTGTCAGCACTGATTGTTTTTAAGTGCAGGCCAAGGTCTTTAGGCACTGCACCCAGTGTGCCGACCACCTTTACTGGTAATATTTACTGGTAAATAATATTTACTAGTAATATTATTATTTGAAACACAACAAGATGAGTCCACAGCAGACACGTCGCACACTACCCAAGTGTCTAGGACTGTGATGTATTATAATTATTATTATTATTATTTGATACAGAACAAGATAAATACACAGTAAACATCACTATGCTGGCTTTTGTATTTGATTAGGGAGAGTGTCTAGGCTTGCAGATACAAGTAGGGTGACCTTTTGTAGCTGACAGATGGTAATCTTGTCAGCACCGATTGTTTTTAAGTGCAGGCCAAGGTCTTTAGGCACTGCACCCAGTGTGCCGATCACCACTGGGACCACCTTTACTGGTAATATTTACTAGTAAATAATATTTGCTAGTAATATTATTTGAAACACAACAATATGAATCCACAGCAGACACTCTGCTGGCTGTTGTATTGGATCACATGTCGCACACTTCTCAAGTGTCTAGGACTGTGTGATGTATCTGCGAATAATGTGTGCAGATCCAAGTAGGGTGACCTTTTGCAGCTGGCAGATGGTAATTTTGTCAGCGCCGATTGTTTTTAAGTGCAGGCCAAGGTCTTTAGGCACTGCACCCAGTGTGCCGATCACCACTGGGACCACCTTTACTGTGTGCAGATCCAAGTAGGGTGACCTTTTGCAGTTGACAGGTGGTAATTTTGTCAGCACCGATTGTTTTTAAGTGCAGGCCAAGGTCTTTAGGCACTGCACCCAGTGTGCCGATCACCACTGATATTACCTTTACTGGTAATATTTACTGGTAAATAATATTTGAAACACAACAAGATGAGTCCACAGCAGACACTCTGCTGGCTGTTGAATTGGATCACATGTCGGACACTTCCCAAGTGTCTAGGACTGTGTGATGTATCGACAAATAATGCGTGCAGTAGGGTGACCTTTTGCAGCTGACAGATGGTAATTTTGTCGGCACTGATTGTTATTAAGTGCAGGCCAAGGTCTTAGGCACTGCACCCAGTGTGCCGATCACCTTTACTGGTAAATAATATTTATTATTATGTATATACTCTGCTTTCTTTTGAGACCCATAGCAATGAGAACATGGTCTGTTGAAAAGCCAGAGCTGGTTTTGAAAGACTTAAAAGCGACCCGTAGATCATCCCTTTGTGCAACAGGTGTATTGTTGTGATAGTGCCGGAGAAAGAGCCGCTGAGGATAAATAGGAACGCATTAATCTCCCCGATTTACCCAGAAGCCTCCTCTCTCTTGAGAGGCTTAAGCAATCCTTGCACTGGGTCTGCAAGGCTGGAGGAATAGAATAGTAATCTGGAGGCTGGTCTAAATCCGTGTGTGCGAGCGAGAGAGGAACGTCCTTCTGTGCAGTGCATTGCTTGCGTGTTGGCTTTCGGATTGCCAAGTTTGTGGTGTCGAAGTGCATTAACTCTACTATGCATGTAAACAGACCTTGGCTTGAGCAAACTTGGGCCCTCCGGGTGTTTTGGACTCCCAACTCCCACAATTCCTAACAGCCGGAGGGCCCAAGTTTGCCCATGCCAGAGATAGACTCAGTCCAGCGTAATCTAATAATGAATACATTTGGGTCTATTTGCAAAAAATACATAATAAATACATTTGGGTCTGTTTGCAAAAAATACATAATAAATACATTTAATAATACATTTGGGTCTGTTTGCAGAAAATAAATAATATAAATACATAATAATAAATACGTTGTCGAAGGCTTTCATGGCCAGAATCACTGGGTTGTTGTAGGTTTTTTCGGGCTATATGGCCATGGCCTAGAGGCATTCTCTCCTGACGTTTTGCCTGCATCTATGGCAAGCATCCTCAGAGGTAGTGAGGTCTGTTGGAACTAGGAAAAACGGTTTATATATCTGTGGAATGACCAGGGTGGGACAAAAATTAGGACAGCACAACAGCAGAGGAAACAAACAAGGACATCTAATCACCTCTCAACAAAAGTTTGCTCCAGGCACTGTCAGGCTGTTATATGCTAATCAAGGTGGTCAGTTGAAACATTCACACCTAGCTCCAGCAGGCAAGAGTCCTTTGCCCCACCCTGGTCATTCCATAAACCCTGTTTCCTAGTTCCAACAGACCTCACTGCCTCTGAGGATGCTTGCCATAGATGCAGGCGAAACGTCAGGAGAAAATGCCTCTAGACCATGGCCATATAGCCCGAAAAAACCTACAACAACCCAATAATAAATACATTTGGGTCTGTTTGCAAAAATTAAAAAATAAATACATAATAATAAATACATTTGGGTGTGTTTGCAAAAAATAAATAATAAATGCATAATAATAATAAATACATTGGGGTCTGTTTGCAAAAAATAAATAAATCCATAATATAATAAATATATAATAATTACATAATTAATACATTTGGGTGTGTTTGCAAAAAATAAATAATAAATACTTAATAATAAATACATTGGGGTCTGTTTGCAAAAAATAAATAATAAATAAATAATAATACATATATAATAAATACATTGGGGTCTGTTTGCAAAAAATAAATAAATGCATAAATATAATAAATATATAATAATAAATACATAATAAATACATTGGGGTCTGTTTGCAAAAATAAATACATAATAATAATAAAAGATTGGGGTCTGTTTGCAAAAAATAAATAATAAATACATAATAATAATAAATACATTTGGGTCTGTTTGCAAAAGGCTTGCAAAAGAAATCCTTGTAGGGAAAATCTTGCAAAGCAAGTGTCTTTTCCATTGCAGACCTGGGAGGTTTTCAAAAAGTACGTTTTGTGCCGCGCCAGATGTTCCGAGCGGAGTCTGGTTTTGCAAGGGAGAGAAGGCGAGTTGAGGGCAGAGTTGACTCTTCGGCTTTCAGCGTTTGTTCGAGCATTTTCCCCCCAAACGTGGGCGGGGAATTATACTGTGAACTCCCCGCATGTTGTCTCTTGGAGTGTTTTTCCTTGGGTGGTGGGAGGGAAGGAGGGACCGAGCTTTTCCTCCCAAAAGAACACCCAATTCTCCTCTTGGAAAGAGAGGCTTGGGAGGGTTCCGGTGACTCACTCCGGGTTCTCGATTCTGTCCCTTTTAAGGACTTGAAAGAGAAGAAGGAAGTTGTGGAAGAGACAGAAAATGGCAGGGATGCGCCGGCCAATGGCAACGCTGTAAGTATGGACGTTGTTCCTATAATGTTGGTGTTTATATATCCCACTTCCTCTCCCAAAAGGAGAGGCTCAAACCCCATACAACATGCAAAGTAGAACCCTAAAAATCACACAATAAACCTCTCAAACCAGTGTTTCTCAACTTTCCTAATGCCCAGTTCCTCATGTTGTGATGACACCCAGCCAATATGCTCAAATTTGAATACTGTTTGGGTTTGGGGGACGTTGATTTTGTCATTTGGGAGTTGTAGTTGCTGGGATTCATAGTTCACCTGCAATCAAAGCGCATTCTGAACTCCTCCAGCAAAGGAAACTTGGCAGTTCACGTACATCCCAAGAGCACTGTAGACCCAAACAATGGTGGATATTGAGGAATACAGACCTTGACATTTGGGAGTTGTCGTTGCTGGGATTTATAGTTCACCTACAATCACAGCATTCTGAACAACCCCAACAAAAGGAATTGAACCAAACTTGGCAGTTCACCTACATCCCGAGAGCACTGTAGACTCAAAACACTGGTGGATATTGGGGAATATCGACTTTGACGTTTGGGAGTTGTAGTTGCTGGGATTCATAGTTCACCTACAATCAAAGCGCATTCTGAACTCCACCAACAAAAGGAATTGAACCAAACTTGGCACATAGAACTCCTATGACCAATAGGAAATGCTGGAAGGGTTTGATGGGCAGTGACGTTGAGTCTGGGAGTTGTAGTTCTACATCCGGAGAGCACTGTGGACACAAACAATGATGGATCTGAACCAAACTAGGCATGAATGCTCAATATGGCCAAATGTGAACACTGGTGGAGTTTGGGGAATATAGACCTTGGCGTTAGGGAGTTGGAGTAGCTGGGATTTATAGTTCACCTCCAACCAAACAGCATTCTCATCCCCACCAACAAGAGAATTAGGCCAAATTTCCTTCACAGAACTCCCATGACCAACAGAAAATACTGGAAAGGTTTGGTGGGCATTGACCTTGAGTTTGGGAGTTGTAGTTCACCTCCATCCAGAGAGCACTGTGGACTCAAACAATGATGGATCTGGGCCAAAGTTAGCATGAATACTCAATATGCCCAAATGTGAACACCGGTGGAGATTGGGGAATATAGAACTTGACATTTGGGAATTGTAGATGCTGGGATTTATAGTTCACATACAATCAAAGAGCATCCTGAACCCCACCAACGACGGAGAGCTCTGTAGACTCAAAACAATGATGGATCTGGGCCAAACTTGGCACAAATATTCAATATGTCCAAATAGACCTTGGTATTGGGGAGTTTGGTTGCTGGGATTTATAGTTCACCTACAATCAAAGAGAATTCTAAACCCTACCAAGGAAAGAACTGGGCCAAACTTCCCACACACAACCCCCAGGACAAACAAATATTGTGTTTTCTGGTGGTCTTTGATGATCCCTCTGTTGGAAGTCATAGAATCAACGAGTTGGAAGAGACCTCATGGGCCATCCAGTCCAACCCCATTCTACCAAGAAGGAGGAATATTGCATTCAAACCACCCCTGACAGATGGCCATCCAGCCTCTGTTTGAAAGCCTCCAAAGAAGGCGCCTCCACCACACTCGGTGGCAGTGAGTTCCACTGCTGAAAGTTCCAGCCACTGCTATCCTGCTCAAGGTCTAAGAGATCGCAACTCCCATCATTCCCAGCCAGAAAGAGTTGTAGTTCACCCAAAGTACATACCAAGCCACAGCCTTGTAGATGCCTTTCCTCCTTGTGTGACAAGGAATATAATATAATATCTGAGTTATCCCAAACTATAATGTCTCATGTTCTCCCAAACAGCCACATTGAAAGCCATTTTGGAATGAAAATCTCCCGGAAGGGAAGGAGTTGGAAGTTTTTACGTAGCCAATGCAGGCTGCCAAACATGATGAACCGGAATTTTTGGCCTGCCGGCTGCGGCTACAAAGTTCAAAAACAATGAGAGTAAACAGAGGCAGACAACAAGGCCCATTACTGGGATTGGTGCCTTTTTCAGTTGTTTTCTGGCTTTTAGTTTTTTATCACCACTATATAGTTGTAGCCCAGGCATTGGAAAATGTTTTGGACTCCCACAATTCCTAACAGCCGGGTGTTTTGGACTTAAACTCCCACAATTCCTAACAGCCAGTAGGCTGTTAGGAATTGTGGGAGTTGAAGTCCAAAACACCCGGAGGGCTGTAAGCTACGTAAACAACATGCTTATTGGAATGGGTACTAACCTGCCTTCAACATACCACAGTGGTTGCATTCTCTTGTGTTTTGAACTTGGTTTTTGGGGGGTCAGGTCGTTAAGTGTGTCTTGTTTCTACAAGGAGAACGAGGAAAACGGGGAGCAGGAAGCAGACAACGAGGTAGATGAGGAAGAGGAAGAAGTCGGCGATGACGAGGAGGATGAGGAAGAAGGTGATGGTAATTTTCCTTTTTTATTTTTTGAAAATATGTATATTTTGATCCCCTCCTAGCCTTTTTTTTCTGTATTTTGCAAAAGTCTGGTTGAGACTTTGCAGCGTACGCTGGCTCCCCCTAGTGGCCATTCAGAGTTATGCACCGAGGATTGTTTACATTTTCAAGCACAGAATGCATTTATAATGAGATCGTTCTTTACATTTATTTATGTATTTGCAACATTTATATGCCATCCTTTTCATCCCGAAAGGGACTCGGGGAGTGGCTTGCAAGATATATATACATACAATACATTTCTTTGCCACCCTTTTCACCCTGAAAGGGACTCGGAGTGGCTTACAAGATATATATACATAAAATACATTTATATGCTACCCTTCTCACCCCGAAAGGGACTCAGAGCAGCTTACAAGATATATATACACACAGTACATTTATATGCTATCCTTCTCATCCCAAAAAGGGACTCGGAGCAGCCTACAAGATATATATATATACATACAATACATTTATATGCTACCCTTTTCACCCTGAAAGGACTCAGAGAGGCTTAGAAGATATATATATATATATATATATATAGATAGATAGATAGATAGATAGATAGATAGATAGATATATACACACATACATACAATACATTTATATGCTACCCTACTCACCCCAAAAAGGACTCCGAGCGGCTTACAAGATATATATACATACAATATATTTATATGCTAACCTTCTCACCCCAAAAGGGACTCAGAGCAGCTTACAAGATATATATATATATACACACACACACACACACACACACACCGTATATTCCGGCATATAAGACGACTGGGCGTATAAGACGACCCCCAACTTTTGTAGTTAAAATATAGAGTTAAGACGACTCCCATGCATAAGACTACACCCGCGTATAAGACGACCCCTGACTTTTGAGAAGATTTTCTTGGGTTAAAAAGTAGTCTTATACGCCAGAATATACTGTATATATATATATATATACATACGTACACACACATATATACATACATACATACAAACAATACATTTATATGCCACCCTACTCACCCCAAAAAGGACTCAGAGCGGCTTACAAGATATATATACGTACAATGTATTGTATTATTAGCATAGTACAATATCAGTATTATATATTACTGTATTGTACTATACCATTATATTGTAATATTATTAGTAATATTACATGTAATATAAAATATATAATAATATATTATTTTTGTATTGTATTACATTATCTAGCTATATAAATAAAAATGTAGTTTTTTTGTGGGATTAACAACTCAAAAACCACTGGACGAATTGACACCACATTTGGACACAATACACCTCTCAGGCCAATGAGTGACCATCACTCATAAAAACACTGAGAAACATAGCAGAAGAGACTTAAAAAGCCAAAACAACAAAAAAGACATTACAATGCATGCACAAAACCACATATACACACACATACACAAATATATGCACTCATATATATACACACAGTACACATATACACAGATTGAGCCACAGCAACACGTGGCATGGGTCGGCTAGTATATAAATAAAAATGTAATGTTTGTTTGTGGCATTAACATAACTCAAAAACCACTGAAAGAATTGACACCAGATTTGGACACAAGACACCTATCAGGCCAATGAGTGACCATCACTCATAAGAACACTGAAAAACACAGCAAAAGAAACTTAAAAAGTAAAAAAACACACCAAAAAATACATTACAACGCATGAGCAAAACCACATATATATACATGCAAACACACATATACACACACAAAACACATACACCGACTGGGCCACAACAACGCATGGCAGAGAATGGCTAGTAATTTTATGAATATTATAGGTATATACAATATATTACATTATATTTTATTGTCAAAGGCTTTCATGGCCGGAATCACTGGGTTGTTGTAGGTTTTTTCGGGCTATATGGCCATGTTCTAGAGCAGGGGTCCTCAAACTAAGGCCCGGGGGCCGGATACGGCCCTCCAAGGTCATTTACCCGGCCCTCGCTCAGGGTCAACCTAAGTCTGAAATGACTTGAAAGCACACAACAACAACAATCCTATCTCATAAGCTAAAAACAGGCCCACATTTCCCACTGAAATAATAAGTTTATATTTGTTACAATTGTTTTTCATTTTAATTATTGTATTGTTTTTAAGTGTTTTTGCACTGCAAATAAGATATGTACAGTGTGCATAGGAATTCATGTTTTTTTTTTTTTCAAATTATAATCCGGCCCTCCAACAATTTGAGGGACTGTGACCTGGCCCTCTGTTTAAAAAGTTTGAGGACTCCTGTTCTAGAGGCATTCTCTCCTGACGTTTTGCCTGCATCTATGGCAAGCATTATAACATATTACTAGCATAGCACAGAAGACAAGGTGGAGCTGTCTTCCTGCCCCCCCCCCCTTCACTCTTACCCAGAGCAGCATTTATTGCTTGGAGGGGGGTCCCCAACTGATGACATGCATCATCAGTTTTCAAAAAGTTTAATTTTCTTACTCTTTGGGTACCAAACCATGAAGCTAACCCTAAATCTGATCCGAAAACGTAATTTTGGGTAGGAAGGAAAACAGCATTAATACACACACACACACATATATACAGACCCAGAACACATATACACAGACTGGGGCACAGCAACACGTGGCAGGGGACGGCTAGTAATATTATAAATAACTGATGACATATGCATCATCAGTTTTCAAAAAGTCCTCTTTGGGTACCAAACCATGAAGCTAACCCTAAATCCAATCCAAAAACATATTTTCCCTTGGGTAGGAAGGAAAACAGCATTTGGAAATTACCCGAAAGATGATATATAGTTTTCTTCTCACTTGGTGGTCCTGCCTTGCTATGTAGATGAGGCTGAGATGTAGTACCCAGTCTAAGATAGGCAGCAAAAGCCATTGCGTAAAACCTGGCCCTCCCTTGTCCTCGCCTGCCTTCTTGACACATTAATGCCTTGTTGGCAAGCACTGAAAGCGGCAAGGTCTGTGCCAGCAGAAGGATTCATCCCTTGATTCCCGCCAATCGCTTACCATAACTACAGGCATCCAAATATTTTCCTGTTTTGGGATGACATCTCAGGTCTTTCTCTTGGGTTATGTGTGGGTGATGATAACTTGCATATGCTGATGACCAGGCTGGGACTTGACAAAAGGGAATTGCATTCTTGATTGTTTACTTCATGTAAAAGAGCATTAGCCAGCCTTTATAGCAGTTACGGGCCAACTTGGGCCCTCCAGGTGTTTTGGACTACAACTCCCACCATTCCTAACAGCCTACCGGCTGTTAGGAATGATGGGAGTTGTAGTCCAAAACACCTGGAGGGCCCAAGTTGGCTCTTGCCTGCTTTACAGCAAGAATAAGCAGATTGGATGGCTTGTTTTCCTCCCTTTCTTGCCTGTTGCATCCTTTTGAAAGCAAGCAACAACTCCAAACAATCCTGCAACATGGTTCAAGGCACAAACCTTTCTAGGAAACCGGTGATTTCAAAACAGCCGGCAGTAACCGGAGAGCTTCCTATGGCATCCAAGCTGTTTTGTATAACCAGGCAGCTTTTTTGCAAGGTTGCTGGGAGACCATGGCGATGGGAAAACTCAAAATCCATGGTTCTAAAGTTCTGGTGGTGAAAATTTCACAACTCTAACAAAACTCAAAATTCATGGTTCTAAAGTACTTGCAAAACTAAAGTTCTGGTGGTGAAAATTTCAGAAGTCTAACAAAACTCAAAATCCATGGTTCTAAAGTACTTACAAAACTAAAATTCTGGTGGTGAAAATTTCAGAACTCTAACAAAATTCAAAATCCATGGTTCTAAAGTACTTACAAAACTAAAATTCTGGTGGTGAAAATTTCAGAACTCCAACAAAACTCTCAAAAGTTCATTATAAATGGCAGTTCCTAATTGTTTCTATCATAAAAATCACCAATAATGAAATAATAATTAAATTTTGAAAGTTTTGTTAGAGTTCTGAAATTTTCACCACCAGAACTTTAGTTTTGTAAGTACTTTAGATCCCCATAATACTTGGATGGCACACAACAACAACAAAGTTTGCCAAGTATGTACATTTGCTGGGTGGCTTTGGTCGAGTCACACTCTCTCAGCCCCGGAGACCCCCATAATACTTGGATGGCACACAACAACAACAAAGTTTGCCAAGTATGTACATTTGCTGGGTGGCTTTGGGTGAGTCACACTCTCTCAGCCCCTGAGACCCCCATAATACTTGGATGGCACACAACAACAACAAAGTTTGCCAAGTATGTACATTTGCTGGGTGGCTTTGGTCGAGTCACACTCTCTCAGCCCCTGAGACCCCCATAATACTTCGATGGTGCACAACAACAACAAAGTTTGCTAAGTATGTACATTTCCTGAGTGACTTTGGGCGAGTCACTTTCTCAGCCCCTGAGATCCCCATAATACTTTGATGGCGCACAACAACAACAAAGTTTGCTAAGTATTTACATTTTTGCTGGGTGCATTTTCAGGCTTTCTGCATGCGTCCCTCTCTCTTAGTCTTTGTTTACTCCCCCTCTTTTGAGCTGCAAGACGAAACCGGTTGCGTTGGAGCCACCTGCCGGGTCTAATCCTGGCAACATGGAGCAGGTGGGAGGGGAGGGGCTTCCTTCATGTCCAGGTGACCCTAATCTCCCCTCCTCAAGGCTCACCGTGACAATTTAAGCCAGATTAATGACCTAAACGGGGAGAGTTCAAATGTTCCCGGCTACTTATCTCGCAGGGCTTAGTCGGCCTCTTTGTCTCTCTTGTATACACACGCCAGTGTGGTTCGTTACCTGAAGGGTTTGCAAGTATGGGTCAGCTTGGGCCCTCCATGTGTTTTGGACTCCCAACTCCCACAATTCCTAACAGCCTACCGGCTGTTAGGAATTGTGGGAGTTGAAGTCCAAAACACATGGAGGGCCCAAGCTGACCCATCCCTGGCTTTGAGAGTCTTGTTTCTGTTTACTTTGGCTCTTTGGGACACAACCCATTGGCAAGGCTTGTGTCTCCTGCAGCAAGACAACAATTAGCAAACGTCCTCGGAATTAACGAGTCCTGGCTCTCGGGCCTCATTAGAGGGAGTCGTCATAGTGGAGAAGGGACGCAGAAGTAATCCAAGCCAGTTCTTTCTTTCTGTGCCTACGTTGGGAGTGTTGACCTCAACAACGAGGTGCAGTCCTCAAATTTCTACTTGGTTTGTTGATAGATTTTTCTGCCTCTTTAGGAACAGTCTTAGGCTGTGTTTATGACTAACTAAAATAAAATAGTGACATTGATTATTATTACCAATGCCTTGAGTTCATAAGGAAACATTCCTAATGGGGATTGAAATTTTTTTAATTTTTTTTGTCGTGTCAGGAGCAAACAAAACAAGTTGTATTGCATTTTTAAAGAAACAAACAAACAAAACACAAAGTTTGCAAGCTTGGTAGTTGATTAAATGTCCTTTGACCAGTATCAGGCCACTTGGAGGGAAAGGAGTCTCTCAGCCATTGATTGAGGTTCTGGGTTTGAGCCTGCCACTTTTGGACTCTCGCTTGCTGAGGTGTTCCAGCGAGTGTCTCTGTGGACATAGAGATACTAGGCAATGCAGTCCAAAAATATAGTTCTAATAAACTTTGGCTGAAGATAATTTGTAAAGCTGTGTCAACACCTCCACTTTAGGGGTGGGGGGGTCCTTAGAACAGCCTGCCACTTTTGGATTCTCGCTTGCTGAGGTGTTCCAGCGAGTGTCTCTGTAGACAGAGATACTAGGCAATGCAATCCAAAAATGTAGTTTTAATAAACTTTGGCTGAAGATAATTAGTAAAGCCGTGTTGACACCCCCACTTTAGGGGTGGGAGGGGGGGTCCTTAGAACAGCCTGCCACTTTTGGATTAATAATGAAATAAAAGTAATAATAGTAAAATAATGTAAATGTAATAATAGAGTAAAATAATAAATGCAATAAATAATAGAGTAAAATAATGTAAATGTAATAAGAATAAAATAATAAATGAAAAAAGTAATAATAGAGTAAAATAATGTAAACGTAATAATAATAGAGTAAAATAATGTAAATATAATAATAATAATGGAGTAAAATAATAAATGAAATAAATATAATAATACAGTAAAATAATGTAAATGTAATGATAATAGAGTAAAATAATCAATGAAATAAAAGTAATAAAATAATGTAAATGTAATAATAATAATAATGGAGTAAAATAATAAATGCAATAAATATAATAATAGAGTAAAATAATTTAAATATATTAATAATACAGTAAAACAATCAATGAAATAAAATTAATAATAGAGTAAAATAATGTAATAATAATAATAATGGAGTAAAATAATAAATGAAATAAATATAATACAGTAAAATAATGTAAATGTAATGATAATAGAGTAAAATAATCAATGAAATAAAAGTAATAAAATAATGTAAATGTAATAATAATAGAGTGAAATAATAAATGAAATAAAAGTAATAATAGAGTAAAATAATGTAAATAATAACAATAATGGAGTAAAATAATAAATGCAATTAATAATACAGTAAAATAATGGAAATGTAATAATAGAGTAAAATAATAAATGAAATAAAAGTAATAAAGTAATGTAATAACAATAATAGAGTAACATAATAAATGCAATAAATATAATACAGTAATACAATATAAATGTAATAATAATAGAGTAAAATAATAAATGTAATAAAATAATACTAATAGCAGAGTAAAATAATAAATAACCTGACTCGAGTATAAGCCTTAAAAAGGGGCTGAAAAACTAGGCTTATACTCGAGTATATACAGTACTTCTATCCAGGCATTAGATTGAACCAAACCAGAATGGTTTTTCCTCCGCCTTCAATTGCAAAGTGATTGCAATGGGATTTTTGCAGCTTTTTCGACCTTTCTCCCCCTCTTAAGCCTTTCTTACTCGTCTTCCAGGTGAGGAAGAGGATGGCGATGAGGATGAAGAAGCAGAAGGTCCCACAGGGAAGCGGGCAGCTGAGGACGATGAGGTGAGTGTCCAGTGATGCTTTCCTTAGTTTAGGATATATATGGCATCCCAAAAATACTTTCTCCAAATATTGGCCCATTAGGTTCCGACTTAATTGACCTCAGGGCCACTTCCTGCTTGGGGAAAAAAGACCAGAAATGTTCCAAAAACGTGATTTTGCTCCGGAAACGAGAGTATCAACAACAAAAGAAATGTTTCCCAAAAGGAAACTCAGCATAGAGTAGTGGATTGAGTGATGTTGGACCATGACTTTTGGAAGCCAGAGTTCAGATCTTTCCTCAGCCATGGAAATGTACTGGGGAGGAAAAATGAGGCCCTTTTTTTGGCTTTAGCATGAGGATGCTGGGAAATTGTAGTCCAAAATACTATGTTTTGCAAACTTGTGCAGCCTTCAATAGGAGAACCTTGCAAATCACCTCTCAACAAAAGATTCCCCCAGGCACTGCCAAGCCATCAAATGCTAATTAAGGTGGTCAGTTGAAACATTCACAACTAGTTCCAGCAGACAAGAGTCCTTTGCCCCACCCGGGTCATTCCACAGATATATAAACCCATTTTCCTACTTCCAACAGACCTCACCATCTCTGAGGATGCTTGCCATAGATGCAGGTGAAACGTCAGGAGAAAATGCCTCTAGAACATGGCCATATAGCCCAGAAAAACCTACAACAACCTTGCAAATGCTTGCAAAAGAGACGGCCCTCCTAAAATTTCTGCGTCTTTCTCATATTGCCCAGTGTTTTTTGTTGGAGGATAAAAGTTGGATCAGATGGAAACAGAAATAATACATTACTAACACTAACAGCCCTGGTTCAATGCTAGGGAAGCCTGGGATTTGTAGTTTTAATGAAGCACCAGTGCTTCCTTAACAGAGGAGGATAGAGACCTTTCAACATGCCCAGGAACCCATAGCATTAAGCCAAAGCATTTAAAGGAGTGTCAGACTCAATCCTGGAGAACTATAGTTTTCTAAGGGGCCTGTACTTTTAGCAGAGAAGACAAAGAACCTAGCAAAACTACAACGCCCAGGATTCAGTGACATTGAGCCATCATAGTTAGAGGAATGGCAAACTCAATCCTGGGAGCTATAATTTGCTAAGCTGCCTGCACGCTAGCCGATGAAGACTTAGAACCTTGTAAAACTACAACTCCCAAGAACATTGAGCCATCGCAGTTAAAGGGGTGCCAAACTCAATCCTGGGAGCTGTAGTTTACTAAGGTGCCTGCAATCTAGCAGAGAAGACCAAGGAGCTTGTAAAACTTTAACTCGCAGGATCCCATAACATTGAGCCAGGGCAGTTAAAGGAGTGTCAAACTCAAAACATAGGAGTTATAGTTTGCTAAGATGCCTGCCCTCTTTAGCAGAGAAGACAAGGACCTTATAGAACTACAACTCCCAGGATTTCATGACATTGAGCCAGGGCACCTAGAGTGTCAAACTCAATCATGGAAGCTATAGTTTGCTAGGCTGCCTGCACTCTAGCAGAGAAGACTTAAGGACCTTGCAAAACTACAACTCCTAGTTTTCCATAACATTGAGCCAGGGCAGTTAGAGTGTCAAACTCGAATCGTGAAAACTATAGTTTGCTAAGGTGCCTGAACTCTTTAGCAGAGAAGACTTAAGGACCTTACAAAACTACAACTCCTGGGATTCTGTAGCAGTGAGTCATGACGGTCAAAGTGGTATCTGACCTCATCCTACAGTGTTCCCTTGCTGCTTTGTGGATCACTTACTGTGATGGTGCGCAGTGGGGCGGGGCTTCCGACACCCAGCATGGCTCATGATGCAACCAAGAACCTGGTCGAAGCCCCCCCCTCCTCCCCAGTGCATGCGCAGACGAGATGCACTTCTACACCGAGCACTTTATTGACTTCGCTAACTTCTGGCTCACTGAGAAGGACCAGATCCACGTATATAGTGTCTCTATTTTCACTTACGGCGGGTGCTCCTGGAACGGAACAATCTTGGAACACAGAACTATCGTGATCAACAGAAAACACTAGAAGGATTTGGTGGGCATTGACCTTGAGTTTGGGAGCTGTAGTTCACCTACATCCAGAGAGCACTGTGGACTCAAACAGTGATGGATCTGGACCAAACTTGGCACGAATACTCAATATGCCCAAATATGAACACAGATGGACTTGCAAACAGAAAATACTGAAGGCCATCCAGTCCAACTCCCCAAGGGCAAGAAAATATAATCAGAGCCATCCAGCCATAGATATAGAGAGGTAGATAGAAATGATTCACACACAGGGAGATATAGCATCATAGATTTGAAAGGGACTCCTAAAGAAGGACTATGATATGTTGCATGTTCCAGAGTAGGCAAGCCAGACAATCTCCACATCAAAACTGACAAAGAAACTACAAGAGATACTGTTTACCCACAAGCAGAAAGACATTTCATAGATTAGAAACCAACACTTTCTCATTACTTTATCTTCCAGACAGATTACTAGACTGGGCCATAGCAACTCGTGGCGGGGAACCGCTAGTTTGAATATAATCCAAAAAAAATCAGGAATACATTGATCCCAGGCTTGGCTGAGCAAACAGTAAATCCAGGAATCAAAAACCATGACACAAAAAAATCTCAACATGAATCTGCAAAGCAAGGCTTCCATAAAACAAGGACAAGAACTTGGCTTGATTCCAAACGATGCTTCATCTGACTACACATCCCAAACTTGAGACTTATCCCCTCGTTAGCTAGGTCACTAGCGGTCAGAAACTGGCTTTGTTATTGTTTTCTGTTGAAGCCTGGCGGATTGGTGAAGCCATTGCTCAGCCCTCCTGTTTTGACTGATCTCTTCTCGTTTTTTTAATTACAGGATGACGACGTCGATCCTAAGAAGCAGAAAACCGACGAGGACGATTAGGGAGCGGAGCGATCTAAAGAGATACACACACACAATTTTTTTTAACTTTAAAAAGAAAAGGAAAAAACAAAAATTTTTTAAAAAGGCCAGCGCGACCGACTTCACCTTTGGAAGAAAAAAAAAGTTCCCGTTGCGAAGCATAATTGCGTGTCGTCCCCCCCGGTTTCCCCCTCCTCCTTGCTGTGGTCACTTGTCACCAAGTAGAGCAGGAAAAAATAAATTCAAAACAAAACAAGGAAAAGCCAGTTCCGCCGCAGCCATTTCTCCCAATTCTATGAAAAATCAAAGAAGGAAAGGAATAGTAAATATACTCTCTCTTCTTCCTTCCTTTTTGACCATTAGGATGATGATGCCACCTTGGGGTTGGGAATTGGCTCGGTTTCCCCATCCCTTCCCCTTTTTTCTCCCCCCTTAAAAGAAAAAAAAACACTGACAACTTCAAGGCCCAGCTTACTTCCTTAAAAAAAAAGTAACTTTAAAGGAGAATTTGTTTGTATTTTTTATTTACATTTTATATTTTTGTACATATTGGAACGAGGTCAGCCATTTTTAACGCGATCTCCGATTGACCAAAAGGGAGGAGGGCGGGGCTTTGAAGTGCGGGGTTTTTTCCTCTCTCTCTCTCTCGCTCTATTCCTGATACAAAACAAGCCGCAAAAAAAAAATTAATATTTTTTTCTTGGCTTTACTTGTGGTGTGACCATATCCAAAAAGAAACCATAATCTCAAAAAATGAGAAAGTTAAAATTAAAAGAGGAAAACCTTGTAAAGAATTTTTTTCAAAAATGCAAAAAAAAAAGTCAACAATCTTTATTCTGAGCATTCCAGTAACTCTTTTTTGTGTATGTACTTTTAGCTGTACCATAAGTAGTGGGTTTGTATGAGATGGCAAGGCCAAAGATAAAAAGGGTTTTTTTTCTTTTGTTTTTTTCCTCCTCTCCTTTTTCCCCCCCTCTTCTTTTATTTTGTCTTTTATGAAGTTGCTGTTAATTTTCTTTCTCTTTTTTTGGCCTGTTTGATGTATGTGTGAAAAACAAATGTTGTCCAACAATAAACCGGAATTTTATTTTGCTGAGTTGTTCTAACGAAGCTGGTTGCGCAATTGCTGTGTAGTTTTTTTCCTCCCCTTCCACCATTTTTCCTTTATTTTCTTTTATTTAGGGGTGAACTGGGGTATTTAGGAAAACTAAAAAAAACTTGAATAGATAGATGATTATCCCATACCTGGAATTGCAAGATCCAAATTACTCCAACATTGCCCCAGTGGATGGACTTCTGTGCCGTCCGCCCAGACGATATAAAAAATAAAACTGACGTGCTTTTCTTTATGTCTGAGAGAACTGCAGGTGTCTATATTGAGAATTATTTATTCAAAGTCCTTGAAGACTTGGCACAATTCATCAAAGTTGCAAACAGTCAGTAGATGAAACTACTAAAATATTCTTTCTTTTCTTTAGTTACAGAGGTAACCCTTTCTCCAGATGGCAGATAAGATTATCTATATTAACTCAGTATAGCTTAATACTTCTCTATAATGTATAATATGCTATCTATAGCTTAATATAGCTTACTCAATTTAGTTTTTGCAATGGTTTTCCCAGAGCTAACTGCCTAGCCATCAGCACATCTGCAGTCTTTCCTCTAAGCTGAAAAGGCAGGGGAGATTCTAAAATGGAGATCTCTTCCCTGGGAGAAAAGGCGGTCCCTAGACCCAAAAAAATACCTTTCTGAACCAATAGCTGCAAAGGAGGCCTGCAGACTCTCTTTAGGACTCCTGCAAAGCTGCTGCAGCAGCCCTGAGAGAAAATGCAAGAGGAAGCAACCTCAAGCAACTATAAAGTAAGGCAAATCAGGATCCTGGGAGATGGAACAGCTTCCATTCATTTTCCTCAAATTCCATGCCTTTATAAATATGTATGTGTAGCTTTAGACTTCACTTTTGCCTCTGAGCGGGTCAGCAGCTGAACATTTTGGGTTTTGGTCATTAGCTATAGCATTAATTATACCTGTCATAGAATCAGTGAGTTGGAAGAAACCTTGTGGGCCATCCAGTTCAACCCCATTCTTCCCAGAAGCAGGAAAATCTCATGCAAAGCACCCCTGACAGATGGCCATCCTGCCGTCCGCCCAGACGATATCTATATAAATAAAAATGTAATGTTCGTTTGTGGGATTAACAGAACTCAAAAACCACTGGGGGAATTGACACCAAATTTGGACACAAGACACCTAACAACCCAATGTATGTCCTTCACTCAAAAAAAAATTGATTTTGTCATTTGGGAATTGTAGTTGCTGGGATTTATAGTTTACCTACAATTAAAGAGCGTTCTGAACCCCACCAATGATGGAATTGGGCCAAACACAGGACTCCCATGACTAAAAGAAAAAACTGGAAGGGTTTGGTGGACATTGACCTTGGGTTTGGGAATTGTAGTTCACCCACATCCAGAGAGCACTGTGGACTTAAACAATGATTGATCTGGACCAAACTTGGCACCAAACTTGGAAGCTTGCCATAGATGCAGGCGAAACGTCAGGAGAAATGCCTCTAGAACATGGCCATATAGCCTGAAAAAACCCACAAGAACAGAGTTGGCACAAATATTCCATATGCCCAAATAGGAACACAGGTGGAATTTAAGGGAAATAGACCTTGACATTTGGAAGTTGTAGTTGCTGGGATTTATAGTTCACCTACAATCAAAGAGCATTCTGTACTCCACCAATGATGGAATTGAACCAAACATGGCATACAGGACTTCCATGACCAACAGAACACACTGGAAGGGTTTGGTGGGCATTGACCTTGAGTTTGGGAGTTGTAGTTCACCTACATCCAGAGAGCACTGTGGACTCAAACAATGATAGATCTGGACCAAACTTGGCACAAAAATTCCATATGCCTAAATATGAACACAGATGGAGTTTGGAGGAAATAGACCTTGACATTTGGGAGTAGTAGTTACTGGGATTTATAGTTCACTACAATTAAAGAGCATTCTGAAATCCACAAACGACAGAAATGGGGCAAATTTTCCACACAGAACCCCCATGACCCAACAGAAAATACTTAAGGCCATCCAGTCCAACTCTCTTCAACAGGGCGAGAAATGTAATCGGAGCCCTCCTGGCAAAGAGCCATCCAGTCATAAATATAGGTAGATAGATATTTCACACACACACGGAATAGTATAGATTTGAAAGAGACCCTTAAAGAAGGACAATGATATGTTGCATATTCCAGAGTAGGCAAATCAGACACTCTCCACATCAACACTGACAAAGAAACAACAAAAAATACTGTTTACTCACAAGCAGAAAGGAATTCCATATATTAGAAACCAACACTTTCTCGTTACTTTATTTTCCAGATCACCAGACTGGCCACAGCAACGCGTGGCAGAGGACAGCTAGTATAATATGTATGTGTAGCTTTGGACATCCCTTTTGCCTCTGAGCGGGTCAGCAGCTGAACATTTTGGTTTTGGTCATTAGCTATAGCACTAATTATACCTGTCATAGAATCCTTGAGTTGGAAGAGACCTCGTGGGCCATCCAGTCCAACCCCATTCTGCCCAGAAGCAGGAAAATCTCATGCAAAGCATCCGCAACAGATGGCCATCCAGCCTCTGCTAAAAAGCCTCCAGAGAAGGAGCTTCCACCACACACTGGTGCAGAGAGTTCCACTGTTGAACAGCTCTCAGAGTCAGGAAGATCTTCCTCATGTATTTTTGAAGGCTTTCATGGCCAGAATCTGGGTTGTTGGTTTTTTTCAGGCTATATGGCCATGTTCTAGAGGCATTCTCTCCTGATGTTTCGCCTGTGTCTACGGCAAGCATCCTCAGAGGTAGTGGGGTGAGGTCACTACCTCTGAGGATGCTTGCCATAGTTGCAGGCAAAAAGTCAGGAGAGAATGCCTCTAGAACATGGCCATATAGCCCGAAAAAAACCTGCAACAACCCATCTTCCTCATGTTCAGGTGGAATCTCTGTTCCTGTAGTTTGAAGCCATTGTTCTTTAACTGGTGGTTAGTAACTGATTTATCTGTTTGTATCCAGCTTTTTAATGCCTTGTGCTCAAAGCTTTTTGGGAAACAATCAGGGAAAGCTAATCACCTCTCAACAAAAGATTCCCCTAGGCACTGACAAGCCACACCAAAAAACTGCCAGACTATCAAATGATAATCAAGGTGGTCAATTGAAACATTCTCGCCTAGCTCCAACAGACAAGAGTTCTTTGTCCCACCCTGGTCATTCTACAGATATATAAACTCAATTTTCCTAAGTTGTTGTTGGTTTTTTCGGGCTATATGGCTATGTTCTAGAGGCATTCTCTCCTGACGTTTCACCTGCATCTATGGCAAGCATCCTCTGAGGCAGGGGTAGGGAACCTTTGGCCCTCCAGCTGTGGTGGACTTCAACTCCCACAATTCCTTGAGGCTCGGCATTCGCCCCAAAGGCTTACCTTGGCCCAATGCCGAGCCTCAAGGAATTGTGGGAGTTGAAGTCCACCACAGCTGGAGGGCCAAAGGTTCCCTACCCCTGCTCCAGTCCAACCCCATTCTGCCAAGAAGCAGGAATATTGCCTTCAAAGCACCCTGACAGATGGCTATCCAGCCTCTGTTTAAATCCTCCAAAAAAGCTTCCAAAGAAGGAGCCTCCACCACACGGCTCTCACAGTCAGGAAGTTCTTCCTCATGTTCAGATGGAATCTCCTCTCTTGTAGTTTGAAGCCATTGTTCCACGTCCTAGTCTGCAAGGAAGCAGAAAACAAGCTTGCTCCCTCCTCCCTGTGGCTTCCTCTCACATATTTATACATGGCTATCATATCTCCTCTCAGCCTTCTCTTCTTCAGGCTAAACATGCCCAGCTCCTTAAGCCGCTTCCTCATAGGGCTTGTTCTCCAGACCCTTGATCATTTTAGTCGCCCTCCTCGGGACACATTCCAGCTTGTCAATATCTCTCTTGAATTGTGGTGCCCAGAATTGGACACAATATTCCAGGTGTGGTCTAACCAAAGCGGAATAGAGCGGTAGCATGACTTCCCTAGATCTAGCATGACTTCAGTGACAGGCCGAGCTTCTCGTCTGCTTCTGCGAAGGTGTTTCGGGTGGCTTGTAGGTCTTCTGAATGCGGTGACAATCCATCGAGGGGGTGACACCACTTTAAATGCCATGGCTCAGTACTATCCAATCCTGGGAGTTGTCGTTTGGTGAGGCACTGACACTCTTGGCCAGAAAAGGCAAAAGACCTTGTATAACTCAACTACAACTCCTCTGGGTCCATAGCACTGGGCCATGGCAGTTTATTTCTTTATTTAGTTATTTATTTACTGCTTTTATATTCCGCCCTTCTTCTCACCCCGCAGGGGACTCAGGGCGGATTACAGTGTACACATATATGGCAAACATTCAATGCCAATTTTTGACATACAAACATATACAGACATACACAGAGGCTATTTAACTTTTTCTGGCCACAAGGGGAGCTGTCGCTTTCATCGTCCATTGCGACGCTGGTGAAGCACTTCCGCATTCCCCGCATGCTTCCCCGCTGGAATAATTTGCTGTAGTCTTCTTTATGGCCTCATAAATCAGTTAATTTAGCCTCCCACTTTAAGGTGGTACCTTATTTTCCTACTTGACAGATGCAACCGTCTTTCGGGTTGCAAAGGTCGACAACATGCTACACACAATTGGTTGGAAACCCACTCCAACCTGGGCTGGCTTCGAACTCATGACCTTTTTGGTCAGAGTGATTTTAATGCAGCTGCGCCACAATCCCGGTGCAGTTCAAGTGGTGCCAAACTATATTCATTGAAGAGTGTAGATACCACCCTGGTGTTTGGCACGAAAGCAAGAGCATCCCGAAAGCAAGAAGCCTTTCGAGGAATCCAGCAACAGAGACGTTGAGGAGCATTTCCTCGCTGTGCGCATTGACCTTTTGGCTGCCTTGCCGGCTGCTGTCATTTCATGCATCTTTCATGCGCACAGAGGCTGGGTTACTGGGCCAGGAGAGACAACGTATGGAGGGAAGGGAGCTTCCTCTGAAAATTTTTCCCTTTTTCTAGGGCATGAGTGTCCAGAA